AGGGCAGAGCCCTCTGCGAATGTGAGCTATTATGGCTGATATGAGTCAGCACCTTCTCTCCTGCCTGAGTCTCCTTAGGAAAGGGAAGTAGATTCGAAATTCTTCTTGCTCCTTGATTTCCTTTGCAAATAAAGTATCTTGTTTTGTTTTGCTTGTTTTGTTTTTTGAGACAGGGTCTCACTGTGTAGTTGAGACTGACCTGGAATTCACTACGTAGCCCGGCTGGTCTCGAAGAACTCACAGTGATCCTCCTACCTCACCCTCCTGAGTGCTGGGATTACAGGTGTGTGCTACCACACCCGGCAGATAAAGTATCCTGCTTAGAAGTCTCCCCCCACCCCAGTTTTGTTGTTCTGTAGTTCTAGGGATCAGACCCAGGACCTTGTGCATGCTGGGTACTTGTGCTCCTTCTGAGCTGCACGAGCAGCCCTAGAAAGGCTTGCAATGCCTGCTGCCTTGCCTCATCTTCATCCTCACAGGGGTGTGCATGAGAGGGAGTGAAATTTTCCATGGCTGTGTCCCTTCCATGGGACATGAACACCCAGTGTCCTCCTGTAGAGTTCAGGCTGCCTTCCATGTGACTACTGGCACTCGTGCCACTGCCAGCTTGCTCACCTGGGCGTGTCATCTTGTGTTTGCTTTTTGTACGTGTTTTGAGAGCAGGAGCTGGGCTGGGGTTGGGCACAGCAGTGTGTGTGAGGGGAACCCAGTGTCAGGCCACTGGGTTCTTTCCTTGGTAGGACAGCACTGGGGAGGAGCTTGGCGAGGCTGAGTCTCTGCTGCTGTTATCTCCTGTTTTGGCTGGGGTTTAGCTGTGGGAGCTGCAGAGATCTTCTAGCCCTCTTGGTCCACAGGATTTGGGCAAGAGTGCTTGTCCTGTGTAGGCAGTCTGGCTCCCACCCTCATGGGCAGGGATTGTCCCTGCAGGGGATGGGGACTTTGTCAGGGCCAGGCAAGAGCAGCAAGACCCAGTTTGGAACCTGGACCTGGCATCTCCCCAGTTCCCTGCCCTCCTCACCAGAGCCCTACGTACTCGTGTCAGGCACTGCATTCGGGAGTAAACGTCAGACAGCCATGGCTCCTATTGTGGCTCTCAGGAGTCCCTGTTTTTAGTGGATTTTTTTTCTTTTTGTACCGGGGATTGAACTCAGTACCTTAAGGCAGGCAGCGGCACCACTGAGCTAAATCCCCGCTGCAGTCCTTGTTTTATGATAGTGTCCCAAAGGACAAGGCTTGCTGTAGAGGCTGCCGGAACAGGTATACCGATCTGGGTCCTCCCCATCAGCAAGTGAGGCAGGTCCTGAAAGATGTTCTGGGCTCCACTGTGTGGCTGCAGCAGTAAAGCAGCAGTGGGTTGGAGGCAGCGCCTTTAGAGAAGGGGCAGGATGGCGAAAGTGTGTGTGTGTGTCACACACATGCGCAACAGGTGGGAGGGAGAGGCAGAGAACATCTGGAGATGAGAGAGGACAGAAATAGAAAAGTTGGTAGGGCTGCAGACATTGGTCAGACCCAAAGCCCTTGTCCAGCCCTTCCCGCTGGTCTAATGCAGAGCTGTGCAGCACATTCGCACGAGTGGATTCTCTGTCGCCCTCCCTCCCTCCCTCCGCCCAGCATCTGCTCTCAGCCTCTGCTTCCCAGCCACTGCTTCCCAGCCGGCAGGACTGCTCTGCCCGGGAAAGAGGCCCTTTGTTCAGCAAGGTCCCAGGCCCTTGAAGGGCCCTGTTCAGAGGGTGTTAACTTCCAGGTCCTGTACCGGGTGCTGCCTGACTGGGCTGTGGGGCTGGGTACCTGGGAGACTTCGCTCCTGGCCACCCCAGGGCTGGCCCAGCATCGGCACTAGTTTAATACCTCCTTCTGCCCTGCTGAGGACCAGTAGGAATAAAGGGCTTCCTTTACTTGCTGTCTGTGAGATTCAGGAAGTCCCGCCCCCCCTTCAGTTGCTGCCCTTCCCAGTTGTAACCCTTTTTGGCCTGAGGGGCTGTACCCTATCCCAGGTCATGAACTTGAACGGGAGGGGGAATGTCCTCCTATAGAGCTCAGGCTGCCTTCTATGTGCCCAACTTGCTTTTTTGTTTGAGCTTCTAGGCTCCAATGGTGTTGGTTCATCTGTCCTATAAAATGTGGGGGTTCTTGGCTCATTTTGTGCTGAGGTGCACCTCAAATTGTGGAGCTTGAAGTGTCCTGCCCTTCCCAGGCCAGCTTTCCATGCAGTAGGGGGACTCACCTTCCCCAAGGACTTAGACTTACAGGGACAAGACTGAGTGCTGTGTACTTTGAACTGATCACTTAGCTTCTTGGGCCTCGGTTTCTGCATCTGTAAAATGGGGGTTAAGAGCATCAGCCCGACAACATTGTTTATTTGTTGTTGTTTATTTTTTGTTTTGGTACCAGGGATTCAACTCAGGATCTGTGCTTGCAAGGTAGGTGGTGGCATCACTGGGCTAAATTCCCAGCCCCCAGCAGAACTGTTTTGATGGTTAAATGAGGTGTGGAGAGTAACTGGTGGACTGGACCTGGAAGCACTTACTCTTTGTAAACCATATAATAAATATAAAGCCTTATTCTGATAGCCGGCACAATTTGAATTCTTCTTCGATGCCAAGCAACTGGGAAAGTTGCAAAGGTCTCTTCACTCATTTCTTCTTTCTGGGGACACGGAGTGTCAGAGGGACGGGCATGTCCATAACCAGCTTGTCATGCTCCGTAGTGTGACCAGTGTGGTAGCCTCGGCATGGCCAAAAGGCCGGAGTGGCATTGCGACTGTGATCCTGTGCCCTCTCTCTCACCCTGTATCTGGCACACAGCTCGGGCTCAGAAACACTTTCTCCTGGTCGGATTCTCATTGGATCAGGGGCAGGGCACATGCTTTGGGAGCTGGTCTACATCGTGTGTGGCGCCTTGGGCCCTGCCAGGCGCAGCTCTTGACAGTCCTTCCCGTTCCCTGGTTCTTCACCGTGTGCATGCTCCATATTGGGTTACTTCTGGTACACAGCATGACACGCGCTCGTCTTGGGCTCCACACAGGCTCCTCCTGCCTGCGCTGGGCTCTCCAGGGTTGCTTCTTGGTGAAGCCATCTCTGGCACACTGGTGACGTGGCTGCCACATTGATGACAACAAGGACTGCTGATCTGGTACTCAGCCTTGCGGGTACCGTGCTGTGTCTTCCCGGGGCTGTAGGGCTGGCGATTCCTGTGCAGGTCCCTGTGGTTTCTGATTGTCCTTTCTTATGTCACTTTCTCATGGAGGGGAAGGGAAAAGGGATGGGTAATTGTGAGTGGGTCAGGGCTCGTCTCTGGCCACCAGAGATGCTGGCAGACTCCTCTGCCGGCGCCGTGGTTGTCTGAGGCGGGAGCCGGGTAGGGTCTTGGGGGAGCACAGGGCCTGACGATCACAGCAAGAAGGCAGCCAAGGACCAAATATGCACAAGTGACCTAGCCTGGGGACACCGTATCCTTCAGCCAGGGCATTTCTGGCTGCTCTCAACCATGAGCAAGATGCCATTTTCAGAAGCAGTGAGTTTCAAGGTCTTTCCGGCCTCATCGGCTCATGAATCTGCCTGTCTGTTGGGAACCTTGTACGTGCATGTCACGCACAGGGGAGGACCAGGCAGTGGGGCGCAGGCACCGGCCAGTGACAGGACAGGGCAGGCCATGCTGAGAGACCAGTGCCGAGGGAGGAGTGTTCTGACATTTGACCTGAGCCTTGGGGGCCGGGAGAAGGCAGGAGAGCTGGGAAGAGAAGGAAGAGCGTATCAGGTGGAGGTGACACAGAAACAGGAAAGCCGGGGAACCTGCCAGGAATGGGAGCGGTGGCTGGCGACATTGAGAGAGCAGAGTGCGGGGCTGGGCAGGGCAGTGCTGGGTCAGGCTCATGAGGCTGTGGGGCAGCGGGTGGGTTGGAAGACTGGTGATGGACAGCTTCACGAGACGGACAGGCACCAGCATTCTCGGCGCTGTTTGCCAGGGCTTCCCAAGCTAAGGAACAGAGAGGGAAGGAGTGATGACCAGAGGACCTGTGGTGGACTCCGCAGAACAAATGTCTAGCCCAGTGTCAGGCAGGTACACGTGCCGAATAGACACTTCTTGAAAAATAGCCTCGGGGCATGGCAGGCATATGCTCTACACTGAGCCACATGCCCTGTATCCTCAGTAAAGGCGTTTTGAGAGAATAAATGGAAGATCCTATGAAGGAAAAATGACCAGTGGCAACCAGTGGCAACCCAGGTCCCTGAGGTCGGGAGAGGAGGGGCCTTAGGAAGAAGTGCAAGTTGGGGCAGCCCCGTTGAAGGATCAGAGCAGTTTGCTTGGAGATGTGGGCACACTCTGGACCTGCCACCCCCTGTTCTTCAAAGGGTTCCGGACCTTTGACTACCATGTCTGTCCTCCTGCAAAGTGTGCTCAAGGAAACCCACCAGCACTGCTGTCTCATGTTAGCGATAAGCTGATGTCTACCAAGCACTCACTATGTTCTGAATTAGACCCCATTTATTGTCTGATTTTTCTTTTTCAGTCGAGGAAACTGAAATTCACACAGCTATTTAGCATTGGGGCTGGATTTGAACTCAGATGGCTGGCTCAGAGCCTTCATCCCTACTCTTGGTGGTGCTGCCATCTGTGTGAGGATGAGCAGGCCATCACTCATGCAGGAAAAGAGGCACAAAGTGTGCCCGATCCTGGGGGAAACCTGCCTTCATTGTATGCTTGGGGTCTGAACAGTGATTTCTTCATTTCCAAGGGTTGGAGAGGACCTTGAAGTTGCCTAATTTATTTTGAGGTGAGGGACTTCACTCGGGGTATTTACAAGCCTGTTTTGTTGTTGTGGGTGGCATGGTTGGTGGCAATTGAATGACCTCCCATCACGTGATGTGCCAGTGTGGGTTTTTCACTGCCAGCAGGAGACAGATTGCCTCACCCTGCCCTGCCCTCCACCAGCCAGGCGCGCGCTGAAATGACCTCCCACAGCCTCACCTCACTCTCCTTCCTTCCTTGTATTCCCCTAGATTGACAAGTATCTCTATGCCATGCGGCTCTCGGATGAGACTCTGGTGGATATCATGGCTCGCTTCAAGCAGGAGATGAGGAATGGCCTCTCCCGAGATTATAACCCAACAGCCATGGTCAAGATGTTGCCAACCTTTGTGAGGTCCATTCCTGATGGCTCAGGTGAGGCTCTCATCCAAAGTGGGCTTTGAGGGCTGAGTGTTCTGTGAAACCTTGTGAAACCTCCTTCCAGCTTTCACTTGTTCATGAATTGATTCATCTTTTCCTTCATTCATTCACTCATTTCACCTGTCTGTTTTCCCATCCATCCACCAATCCACCTATCCCTGTCTTCTGAGCACCTATCATGTGCCTGGCGCTGGGGACAACATGTTGGACAGGGCTGACCTGCCCTCATTGGCCTGCCTGTGTGGTGGCTTGTGATACTTAGTACCGTGTTTTGGATCTTGCAGATGCTATGCGGGTTGTTCTTTGTCTCTAGAATAAACGAAGGTTTTATTTTAGGAGACTCTTCTTTAGGGTGCCATGCCTCCCTTCCTTTGGTACCAGATAAGTAGCAGTTGCAGTACCAGGCAGGTCTCAGCCTCAGAGGGGAGATTCGAGTCCCCATTTGAGTAAATTTCCTGAGTACTCAATCAAGGTAGCCCCAAAGCAGAGAAATAGAGAGGGGAGGTAGAATTTAAAAAAAAATTATCCTTAGTGTGCATCCTTGTGGCTCGTGCCTGCAGTGGGGAGTTTGGGGCTCTCTGGGCATTGTCAGTTTCCCTGCCCAGGGGAGTGGCATAAGCCCTGCACTTGGCGGAGTAGAGGTCAGGAGGCACAGCCTGGCCTGCTTGGAGGAAAGCGTTCTGCTCAGTGAGCACACAGTTGTTAGCTGGCAGAGGTGGGTGCCATGCCTGCCTCAGCTTGGTGCATTCACAGGAGACCTCCTGTGAGCTGCCTCTGTGCCCTAGGCTGGAGTCACCTGCCGCTGCCACTGGCGAGGGAGCTTATGTGGAAGTCCATTTCCCTCCCGAGCACACGCCCATCTGTGACTGTGCCCTTCACACTCCTGCTGCTTCCTTCCTCCTCTGGAAGCCCTTGTCTAAAGCCTAAATTAGAAATCTCATCTAGCAGTCCTTGTTTAGAGCAGTTTGAGTGCAGCGTGCAAAGCTGTCACCAGGAAACCTGCAGCTGTTGCAGCTGATGCTCACGAGCGACAGGCAGGTGCACAGCTTGTGCAGACCACTCAGACCAGCAAGCTCCTGTCCTGGCCAGAGCCACCTTGGAGGTGGGTCCAGGAAAGGCCTGTGTGTACTCTGTGACCGAGGATGGGGCCTCACACACACTTGGCATTTCTGTCTGATGTTTCTTTGGCTGTCCAACAGTCTATTCCACCTCTGTCTTTTTGTTTACCCTGAGGTGTTGGTTACTGCAGTTTGGCTTTGCAAGAGGCCCCACAGGTTCTGGCCAGTGGAGACCGCAGCATAGTGCAACCTGGGTGTGTTCTCCTACTTGTGGCTGGGAAGTTGGACCCTGGTAGTTCCGTTGCACTTTTTCCCAGCCCTGGACGGCACCCAGCCCAGGAGCATAGGAGCCTTTGGATCTCGCTGCACCCACTCCCAGCTAAGAGATGGGGAAGGGGCTGGAGAGGGCTTGGGAGCTCTCTGAGGGATACCTGATCTCTGCAGGCACCTGATCCTGTGTGACCGCCCAGGGCTGACACATGAGAGGAGAAGAAAGTGGGGCTCTCCTTTCTACCTCCAGGACCCTGGGCTCCCCAGCTCTGCTCTCCAGAGCCCAGGTCTTCAGAGAGCCCTCCCTCTCCTTCACTCTCCCCACCTGTCATTTCCAGGGCTGAGGGTGTCGGAGTATGAGCCAAACTATGCTAGTGACCTGGCCATTTGTCCCAGTTGCTCCTTCTTGAAAGAAGTTCCAGAACTCACACTCACCTGGGAAATACTACATTCTCTTGTTCCCTCTTAGAGATTGTCCTAACTGTACTTTCCCCCAGCATCTGCTACCATGTTTCACTGGTTTTGAAACATTCATTCTTTTTTTTTGGTATCTCCACAATCAGACTGTTTCATATAATCATTGCATCTTATTATTGGCAGCATTTTTTTCTTTGCCAATGTTACATAAGTAATTGTCCAGGCGTGTCTCACAACCAGTGGCGTCTTCAGTGGGACACGTCCACCCATGTTGAGAAACACTGTCATTGCCTTTGTGGATAATAATGCAAATCAGAACACATCCTATATCCTTTCTTCCTGTGACGGTTACTTTTTGTGTCTATGTTAGTGTGGTATTGGTATTGAATGCGGGGAGTGCTGAGCTACTTTTCACCACTTTACATTTTTATTTTGGGACAGCATCTCCCTAAGTTGCCCAGGCTGGCCTCAAACTTGGAATCCTGGCCCTCCTCCCTGAGCCTCCGAGTAGCTGGTATTACAGGTGTTCATCGCCTCACCCAGCTGTTTCTAATATTTCTGGGGAGGTGGGTCAGCGTGTGCCCAGTCATAGAACGGTCCCTGCAGCCACACAAACGTTGATGTTCATGTCAAAATTCAGGCACCTGATCCCAGTCAATCCCTGCCCCTTGGATGGAGTGAGCTATCTCCCCTTTTAACCTCCTCCTGCTTCTGGGCTTCTTTGCCCTGCTAAGAGCCAGCGGTTCTCCAGAATGCAGTTCTCCTTAATAGGAGGCCCATGGTGCTGCTCCCTCCTTGAAATGTTAATCACCACTCCAACTGTAGTAATTAGCAACAGAATTCGTGGTAATCCCAAACCACACAGGGCTCGATATAAACTCACCATAAATGGTGGCAGACAAATGCCCCTGCCTGTGAGGTGAGGTTTCCAAGGCAGAGGCTGAGGAAGATCTTCACCCTGGTAGGCTGGACTCTTTTTTTTTTTTTTTGAAAGTGCTGAACTGTTTTTTTTGGTCCCGGGGATCGAACTTGGGTCCTTGAGTGAAAGTGCTGATTTTTCAGAAGGACTTCTGAAAACACACCTGATCCATACATGCAGATACGTATCACCTCATGTTTCATTAATGTTTTTCCTTTTGGGCATTTAAAAATGGACATTTTGTTTTTGTTTTTAGTTGCTTTCAGGAGGATTTGCCTACTGTCTCATTCATGAAACCTCACTTTTTTGACCCCCCCTTTTATTTATCATGAATATTGTATATAACAGTTAGGTTGTAAGCTTTCTGGTGGTGTATCAAATTGGGTAGTTGTTATTCTTTCATGGTTCTTAGAATAAGTTTACCATAGGAGAAGCAAAAAATAAATTTACTAAAAGTTTTTGGGTGTGCCACAATCTCTTTCTGTGCACAGCTGGATGACTTACACCACGGTATTTTCCTTTTCTTCGTGTGGCATTTGGCTGTCTTGGTTTTTTCTGTCTGGGAAAATGGTTAGTTATCTCAGAAGTTGTCTCCATCTGTGAAACTTCCTGCATGTCTACCTGTTTTTTAAGTGTGTGTGTGTGTGTGTGTGTGTGTGTGTGGAGTTCGTAGGGCCTTGTGTGTGAGCCAAGGGCTCTACTGCTTAGCCACAGCCCAGCCCTGGTTGAGTTGCTGAAGAAAGTGTAGCACTGTCACCAGGGCCTAGGTTGCAGACAGGGACAAATGCCATTGCTACTCCTCCAGAGCAGGGCAAAGGTAGGTGCTTCACGAAGGCGGGGTTTTGTTTGCCCTGGGTTCCAGCATAGTCCTGGACTCACAGAGACATCTGCCACTGTTTGTTTTCCATTATTTGCCGGAGTAATGGCTGTCATTAGAAAGTAGAGAGTTGTCAGGGTTTTGTTTAATGAGGCTTCTCTTAAAGCGAGGTTCTCCTGGCTTCAGTGGTGTGGGACAGAGTTGCAAATGGGAGGCCCCAGAGTTTGAAGGCAGGCTTGGGAGAAAGATGTGAAGAGGGAGTTGGAGCAAAGCCTGCTGCTGCAGAAAGAGGCTCAACTTGAAGTTGAAGGGAGAAAAAAAGTAAATAAAAATCCAGAAAACACTGGATAAACCCCGATGCTACCACTTACTCTCTGCATGACCATAGAGAAGTCTCTTTATTTCTCTGAGCCTCCAGGTCCTCATCTATAAAATGGGCTTGATACTCCCTGCCCTGCTGCCCCATGAGTCTGTCAGGATGAAGTGAAAGTGTCCGGAAACTACAAATCACCATCGTTGTAATTTGATGCCTGGCTTTCTTTTCTGTTTTGGTACTGGGGATTGAATTTGGGTCCTTGCGCCTGCAAGGCAGGCAGCTGAACCACTGAGCTAAATCCCCAGTCCTGATGCCTGGCTTTGTAGGAATCCTTTGAGAAGGCCTCTTCTAACCAATGTGGCCAGTCAGAGGAGCCCACCCATCAGGCCTAAATTTGTAAGCCTGGCCCTGTGAACAAGGATGCAGACTCCCTTCCTTCCTTCCCTCCTTCCATTCTGCCATCCATCCATCCATCCATCCATCCATCCACCCTTCTCTTTCTTTCACACCAGGGATCGCACTCAGGTCCTTGCGCTTGCTAGGCAGTCAGTGGAACCCCTGAGCTAAATTCTTGGCCCAAGGATACAGAGTTTCTGATGTTAGAGGAGAAGGAAGCAGAGAAAAGTTGGAAGCCAGGGCGGGCAGTGTCACCTCCATCCCATCTGGCTGCACAGAATGGCTTGACCTCTGGGCTGCAGCTCCAGTCCCTCTGTGAGGGTTTGGGCGACCAGCCTGAGATAAAAGGGGATGACAGAGTCTCTTTGTTACAGAGGGTAAGTCGGAATTTGGAGGGATTTTTTTCCTAATAAGAGGATAACGAACTTGAAAAACCTTCCAGTTTTAACTCAAATCAGTTTAGGTGAAAAAGGGAGCATTCTTGGATCCTGTACCTGAGAAGTCTAGATTTCAATTGGCCTCTGCGTCCAGGAGCTTCTTTGTCTCTTACTCTCAGTCAGCCCAGTTTTCTTCTCTGTCGAGATCAGTCACAGGTACCCTCCTCCCTTCCAATGACAGAGACAGGCCCAGGCTGATGTTTCCTGCCAGAGAGCAGCCCTCCTCCCCTGTGGGACCAGTGAGTGTCCTGGACAGGGCCAAGACCTGCTGGTGTGGATCACATGCCGATCCTGATCCACGCACATGGCCGAGATGAGTGACTCTGGGTATCCCTGGTTCACACACTGGTCCCCTGCAGCTGGA